AGTCTATATCACGTAATATAGGCTGTCTTGCAATGAGCACTCATACATAGGATTTCCAGTGAAAACTAGATGTATGAGTGCTCATTGCAAGACGCCGTATATCACGTGATATACGCTGTAATGTGAACGGGGTATAAAGTTGCTACTTTCCTTCGCGGCTCGGGTAAAGGAATTTGCGGTGCGCTCCGTGCACTCAGCCATCTTGTCTAGTTTGTTTATAAACAAACCAGACAAGATGGCTGAGCGCACGACAAAAAAAAACACACCAATTTAAAAACGTCAGTCTTTACACGCTAACTTGAAAGTACTCATTAATGAGTAAAAAAAGACCCATTTTGAAGAAAAGTGGCTTAACTCATTAATGATTAGACAATTTTACCCATTAATGAGTATCTGTTACCCATTAATTATTAACAATTACTCATTAATGGGTAACATATACTCATTAATGGGTAAAAAATTTACTCATTTAATGAGTTAAGCCACTTTTCTTCAAAATGGGTCTTTTTCAACCATTAATGGGTACTTTCAAGTTAGCGTGTAAGTCGCCAAATGTCAAATGACGTCACTTTGTCGCCGGCAATTCGTGTGTAAAGCCCTACAGTAAAAGTATGGACGTCTGTCAAAAGTTGTTCCAATCGAACCGTCAAAATGCACCGCTTTGCTCGATTGGAACAGCTTTTTTCAGTTTTGTGGTTTCAGTCGTCCTTACTTTTACTGTAGGGCTTTATTCGTGTGGGGTGCTGTATTCGTACACGGATGCGGTATACACGCTAACTTGAAAGTACTCATTAATGAGTAAAAAAAAGACCCATTTTGAAGAAAAGTGGTTTAACTCATTGATGATTAAACAATTTTACCCATTAATGAGTATCTGTTACCCATTAATGATTAACAATTACTCATTAATGGGTAACAGATACTCATTAATGGGTAAAAAATTTACTCATTTAATGAGTTAAGCCACTTTTCTTCAAAATGAGTCTTTTTCAACCATTAATGGGTACTTTCAAGATAGCGTGTACAGCACACTATGGCCGACGTTATGTTTAACGTACAGAACAAGAGTAAAATCGGTTTTCAATTGAAACGATAATAATCAATTAAAACACTAATTAACTCTTGCACTGTAACGTCACCAGGGCATTGTTTTACACACAAATAAACATTGCCCACAGGGCATGCCAAAACTTCTTTCAGTGATTTGAGGCTATGTCAGTCGTGCAAGAGTTAATGGTGGTAAGCTCTACCTTGTAATCGCAATGTGCTATTTTATATTATTGCGTCGAGGATCGCGCATTGGGCACATTTATGAGATTAATGAATGCGGAAACACTAATAAAAGTGCGTTTTACACAGCAAAAAAAAAATGTAATATCGATCAATGTAATTCAAGCTGATGTATGAAATAATGATGTAATAGCAAAAAGCAGATACAATATTACATCAATGGATGTAATTTTGTTCGCAAAATCGATGTACATCGTACAACGTTATATTACACAACCGATGGACTGACCTGGTTGCAGCAGTTTGGATGTAATATTCAACAACTTTTTTTCTGTGTACGTTAAATTGTTGTTGTGTCTTCATCGCACATATTCCTTGGTGAATGAAGAATAAGTGCGCAGAAGGCGTCAAGACGATACAACGTCTAAGAGCACTTTTATTAGCGTTTCCACTCTTCTAAAGAGTTCAATTTTATTTGCAATTGATAATGTCACAAAACTATACATAGGAGGCATCAGTGCGCTGCAAGCCACTTTTTATTGTTGTGTCATATGATGTATTCTAATGTTTTATGCGTGCAACAATTTACATCGTGATGAAGTTTGATTCTAATGTAACGTTTGGTTCTGTTGTCATTTGATGTATTCTGATGTTTTATGCGTGCAAAAAATTACATCGTAATGAAGTTTGATTCTAATGTAACGTTAGGTTCTGTTGTCGGTGGATGTATTCTGATGTCAAATTTTGATTCTGATGTAACGTTTGAGGCTAATGTATTTTTATGTACTTGGACGTCACACTGAAGTCTGAATACATTAAGGGTACAGCAATATACGTTAAAATTTAATGTATTGAAGATGTCTGCTGATGTTTCCTACATTACAATTTCTATTCGGGGGATCACTAAGGGTGGGTTTTACAACAACCTCTTTTGTGGTGGCTTTAGCTCGAGCATGAAAAAGGACCCTTCAGGGTCGGCTGTAGGTAGGATTGTTCGATCAAGGAATTGAAAGCACTTTCTCTCTTGTTAATTAGCTTTTTATTTCGACTTACTGTGTGTGTGTATGTGGGTAGTGTCTCACGATGCCGGCGGATGCAAGCACGAAATGTGGGAATGTCGCCTTTGCCTTGACGCTCGGGGTAATGCCTACGCCGAATCCAAGAGGGACGGATCGTACGCCGCATTGGCGGATCACACTCCTTCAGACGTCGGCGCTAGAAGTCCAATCGCACGCCGGAATGGCGGATAATAATGGGTCCTAAGGAATGAACGTCCCAGGGTGGGTATTAGGAGGGCTACCGGGTATTTTTTTAAACTTTATTCTGTTTTGTGCTATGTCCTTTTACTCCATACCTGATTCTTATTTCACTTTCTAATCTAGGTAACGGTGATTTCAAATGAACTTCTCTCTTTATCTTCAACTTTATCTCTGCTTTTTATGGGGGATAGCAAACTTAACGCTTCGAAGCTCTGGATAAGAAAGACGCTTATCTAGTTATTACCCGGTAGCTTGACCCTCCTTTTTCCATACCCTTTGTTCATGTTCCCTTTTTGACGTGTCCAGTCCCGGTATCTGTGGCAACTCTTGTTTTCCCTTTTTTGGCTCACTTCATACTGTTGTGTAGTGTGTGTTGTGGTGTGAAGTGTGTTAACAAATTATGTTCTTATTATTAGCTACTCCGGAGTATTTATCAATTTTTAGCATTAACATTTACTAACATTTATAATTATTTACTTTACTAACCTACTAACAAACAAATATTCAATTAATATGTTACAAAATCTAGGTTAAGTAATCTCAACAGTAACACTTTTATTGTATCTTTCAAATGGTTCTCAATGCGACCGTCATACCGTGGACCCCCGCTAATCTGAACGACACCTCATTCATATTAACGGGATTAAGTTTTAATTTGAACTTCTCATAACCCTATCAGCGTGTTTCTGGTTGCCTTATTTGCTGTTTTGTTTTGATTCTGCGTTCCGTTTTGCAATGTTCCATTTCGATTTACTCCGTTCCATGTGCAAAATGACGTTTAGGCAATTTTCAGTTTGCAGATAAGCGGGGTTCAAACGGATCATATCATTCGAGCAGTTTAAAATGACGTTTCCTACCACTCGAACTTTAACGTGGAACAATATTTTGGTATTTTTTCTTCAACAACCTTCAGAAAATAGTGTCTTATTTGTAATATGCTTAAAAAATCTGGAATTTTTTGTTTCATTTCCGTAAAATCGCTGGTAGAAGGTCGTCCCAAAACTGCTCGGCAATATGATTAATTAATTATTCAGATTAAAACCGGTCATATTACCAGGGGTCCACGGTACAAACTTTTGCAGTAAATCAATCTTGAAGAACTTCGAGAATACACCCTTCAGAACCTTCTCCAGGATGGGCCAACTAAACATATTCTAGTCTTAAAACTTAAAATGTTACTTGGGGCTGGTAGTCTTTTGTTATCATATGACTCGGGGAGGCGTGAGGTAGGAACTTGTAAGTACCAGAGCTAGGTATTCCGCTCCTTCCAGGTTGTCAACTCACCATTTTGTAGCCCTGTTGAACCTTTTGTCCATTTGACATTTGGTTGGTCATTCCGCACACCAATCGCAATTTTGGGTCATATTTTTTGACAATGTGCTGCAAGTGTACTGCAGGTGTGTCGGTCACAACCCGGTATTTCTGACACCTTGAATGCCCAGACAACCAAATGCACGTATATTCAGAATTGTTTTCGTGATATACAAACATATATACAAACAAACAATTCGTATAGAATGCAAATAAATGGCTTAAACGTACAAAAGTGGAGGCCATAAACGTGCATATTTTAATTTAATTTTAAACGAGTTGATTTAACATCATCGTATATAATGTAATCTGTAATAACAAATTCATTTTGAAAAGTCGATGTAATCCGATTTAGTTTGTGATACAGTACGACGGAAAAATGAGTAATCGCATATAGGTCGGTAATTTGCATTCTATACGATTTAACATAAACATAATGCGAGGTATGCCATTCTTATATTCGATTTTTATTGAATTCTTTCAATAATAATAATCACATCACATGTGGTTTCGGTGAGAACAAAAACAGAATGAATATATTTATTGACAGTTTCTCTCTACACGCTCAAATGGAATCAATTGGATTAGGGTAAAGTCTTGGTCAATACTGCACGCTCAATATTCCCCCTCAATTGATTATCCCCAGCAAATCGCGAAGCATTCGGAATCGCGGAGCAGCTAGACTTTTGTTCATGATATCGGTGTCAACACCGCAGGGCAGCAAACCCAACACAACGGTGTGCGTAGCTGCGGTTGGCGTACCTAATGTTATTGCCGTTTCGAACCGTTGTCAGAAGTGAAGAAAGGGAAGAGAAAAACAAAACCAAAACAAACCAAACACAATTTATAATGGACATTGTTAGCAGATAAAGTGAAATTATAGAGGAATTCAAGGAATATTTCGGATCATAAAGTTCGTCTATACTGTGCATCTGGTTCCCCTTCGGCGTCCCGAACATAGAAGGAAATTATAATTTGGAACAGGCGTATAGGAAAGCTAGCGACGATTTTAACGGGAGAATTCGTGGTAAATAGAAGGAAGAGCTAGAACGAGGAAACGGTTGTGTAGCGCACAAAAGTAGAATTAGACCACTTCTTTTTGAGCTGCCACAAAAAAAGAGGCTGCTACAAAAATTTTGGTTTGGTATCCGAACAATCTCAAAAAGAAGTGTACGAGAATCGGATAAACCTCAAAGCGCTATGGCAAATCCTGCTCCAACCGGTCTGAACCTCACGGAGACTCCTTGTGCGTCGTGCGATGAAGTTTCGACCGAAAATGAGGAGATGATCGGTTGTGATGGTTGCCAACGTTGGTACCATATCCGTTGCGTCGGGATTACTGATGCGAAGAAGGAAGGTACGTGGTACTGTACCGAAGAACCATGTCAACGGATCAAGAAGAAGAAGAGTCGCAGCAAGAAAAATAACGATGAATCGGATCGCTCCAGTGTCAAATCCGACCGTGCGCTCGCTCTGGAGCATAAATTGAATGCGATGGAGGAGAAACAAAAACGGATGGAGCAAGAGCTGGAGATGGAGATGAAGATTAAAAAGAAAGAGATGGAGTTCAAGCGATCCATTGAGATGAAGCGGATGCTGTTAGAGAAGCAGTTACGCGAAGAGGAAGAAGAAGAAGAAAAGCTGTTCCAGGAGGAGATATTGAAGCAGCGAAAAGAGCAGTTGAACCGGATGAAAGCTAGGCAGCAGTCGTTCGCGGACGAAATGAAGGAACTGGATGAAGCTATGTCGGAGACGAAGAGAGCAACAAAGGACATCGATGCCGGCGAAGGTACTTCAGGAGTAAAGCCAAAATTGCGCCATTCGAAGATCGGAAAATTGACGGAGCAGAATTTGAAGAAGTTGAGAGCTACTCAATACGAAAATTCGGATGAAGACGATGAAGATGAGACAGCTGATGAAATGGAGGATGATCAAACCGAATCCGGCGAAGAATCCGATGGTGTTTCGGAGAAAAGTGTAGCTACGAAGAACAGCAAGTCAACGAAAAAGTCCGGTAGATTGAGCCAACACGGGCTAGGGCAGGCACGATCCGGGCCGACCAGAATTCAACTGGCAGCGAGAAGTGGCGTAAGTAAAAGACTACCCACATTCTCTGGAAAGCCGGAAGAATGGCCGTTGTTCTACGGAATGTACCAAGCATCGAATGAAGCCTGCGGTTACTCGGACATTGAAAACCTGGTGCGGCTGCAAGAATGCCTGAAGGGTCCGGCTCTGGAGATGGTGCGTGGACAACTTCTTCTGCCGAAATCGGTTCCGAAGGTTATTGGAAAACTTCGCCAGTTATACGGCCGCCCGGAACAGCTACTGCAGAGCCATTTGGAGAAGGTCCATAAGCTGGAACCACCGAAAGTGGGTAAGCTGGCCAGTTTCATTCCGTTCGGCACGGCAGTCGAGCAGCTGTGCGAACACTTGGAGGCGGCGGAACTCAAACAGCACCTGATAAATCCGCTTCTAATTCAAGATCTGGTTGAAAAGCTCCCAGATAACGACAAGCGCGAGTGGGTGCGCTTCAAGCGCGGGAAAAAGAAAGTAACCCTAAGGACCTTCACCGATTTCCTCTCCGAAATAGTCTCGGAGGCTTGCGAAGTGAACGTCAGCATGGACTACAAGTCAACCGGAAGGTTTAGCAGCGACAACCGTTCGGGGAATGCCCAAAGCAAAGCGAAGGAGAAGGGTGCGGTGTTCAACCACAGCGAAGCTGATAATCGTCAATCCGGCGTTGGAGAACGAAGGAATCTAAAGCCGTGCAGGGCGTGTCAGCGTACAGACCATCGATTGCGGTACTGCCAAGATTTCAAGAACCTGTCGTACGCGGACCGGATGAAGGTTGTGGATCGCTGGAAGCTGTGCTACGTGTGTCTGAACGAACACGGTTCGGCGCAGTGTAAGTTCAAGCTGCGATGCAACGTTGGAGAATGCAGACAAGCTCATAATTATCTTCTGCATCCGATCGATGGTGCAATTGGTACCACAGCGCACATTCGGACAAACAACGTCACTTTGTTCCGAATGATACCGATTAGTCTCCACTGCGGAGAAATATCCATCACTGTGTTGGCTTTCCTGGATGAAGGTGCATCGGTGACTCTGGTGGAAAGGAACTTGGCGGATCGCTTGGGAGCAGTCGGAGTCCACGAGAAACTCACCATAAAGTGGACGGCCGACATTGCTAGAGTGGAGAAGGAGTCAAAGCGGATGAATTTGTGGGTCTCGGCTGTTGATGCGGATGAAAAACTTCTTCTGAAGACGGTCCGCACTGTCGAAAAGCTGATGTTGCCTACACAAGCTTTGGACGCAAAGGGGCTTTTGCGGCAGTATAAGCATATGCGAGGATTGCCCATCTCCTCGTATGACGGACGGCCGGAAATACTCATCGGGTTGAACAACATCCACTCGTTCGCCCCGATTGAAGCAAAGCTCGGTGCAGTTATTGATCCGATAGCCGTGCGGTGCAAGCTCGGATGGACGGTCTATGGACCGAAGCAAGCGAACGCTGTCGAAGCGAGCAGCGAATATCTTGGAATCCACCAGGAAGTGACAAACGAAGACCTTCATAAGCTGCTGAAGGCACACTACGCACTGGAAGAATCGGTCGTTGGCGTACCGCGGGAGTCTGCTGAGGACGAGAGAGCTCGCGAGATCCTCGAGAAGACCACGAGACGAATCGGTGACCGCTTCGAGACCGGGCTACTATGGAAGACGGACGATCCAAGGTTCCCGGATAGCTACCCGATGGCGTTGCGAAGGCTGAAGCAGTTGGAGAAGAAGCTAGAGAAGAATCCGGAACTTCACGTGAACGTTTGTAAGCAGATCGATGAGTATCAGGAGAAGGGGTATGCGCACCTTGCTACTCCGGAGGAGCTCGTTGGAACGGAACCTGATAAGGTATGGTACCTTCCACTAAACGTGGTACTGAACCCCAAAAAACCAGGTAAGGTGCGCCTCGTGTGGGATGCTGCGGCTACGGTGCAAGGTATCTCCCTGAATTCACAGCTGTTAAAAGGGCCTGACATGCTTGTGCCGCTAGTGACTGTGGTTGTTGGGTTTCGGGAATACAGAATTGCTGTAGGTGGCGATCTGCGTGAAATGTATCACCAGATGAAGATCATCGCTCGGGATCGGCAAGTACAACGTTTCCTCTTCCGGAAAGATTCCAAGGGACCTCCACGCGTGTTCGTCATGGACGTTGCCACGTTTGGATCGACGAGCTCTCCCTGTTCGGCCCAATATGTGAAGAACCTCAACGCTCAAGAGTACGCTGGGCAATATCCGGAGGCAGCAGCGGCGGTTATCAACCGTCATTACGTCGACGACTACTTTGATAGCGTCGACACCGTAGACGAGGCGATCGAGCGAACGGAGCAAGTCAGGTTCATTCACCAGAAGGGAGGCTTCGAGATTAGGAACTGGGTTTCGAATTCGCCGGAAGTTCTCCAGAGCCTCGGTGAGCAGAAACCGGTTTCAGCCGTCCACATCACCGAAGACAAAGTAACGTCACACGAACGCGTGCTAGGTATGATCTGGGATCCGGATCGTGATGAATTATCTTTCTCCACCCAACATCGCCAAGAGCATCTTCCGTACCTATGCGGAGACAAACGGCCAACGAAACGTGCGGTGTTAAGCTGCGTCATGGGCTTCTTCGATCCGCTTGGTTTACTTTCTCCGTTCACGATCCACGGAAAGATCATCGTGCAGCACTTATGGCGTAGTGGCTGCGATTGGGACGACGCGATTAGCGACGATTGCTGGGAAATGTGGAAGCGCTGGATTGCTGTACTGCCGGAAGTCGAGAACATTAGGATTCCACGTTGCTATCTTGGAGATTCCTTGTCGTCTGCGGTTGAGTCAATTGAAATTCACATCTTCACGGATGCCAGCGAACACGCATACGGCTGTGTTGCGTATCTGCGAGTAGTCATCGACGGAGCTGTGCGGTGTATTCTAGCTATGTCTCGATCGAAAGTGGCACCGTTGAAGCGCCAGTCAATCCCACGACTGGAGTTGATGGCGGCTGTACTTGGAGCGCGGATGAGTCAAACGATGATCGCTACGCATTCACTGAAAATCGATCGATGCATACTGTGGACAGATTCACGAACGGTTTGGAGTTGGATCCAGTCTGACCAACATAAATACAAACAGTTTGTTGCGTTCAGGATCGGAGAAATACTGGAGTTGACACGAGCGACGGATTGGCGATGGGTTCCAACGAAGCAGAATATGGCGGACGTCCTGACGAAATGGCATCGAGGTAACGATCTGGAAAGCGATGGGGTATGGTTCACGGGTGCACCGTTCCTGCACCAGCCCAAAGACCAGTGGCCGACTATGGAGGTGACGATCGAAGAGACGTACGAGGAAGCCAGGGGCCACGTGACATTCCATGGCGTGGTTGAAGTAGACCGATGCTCGAGATGGACAACGCTGCAAAGGGTGATGGCGTGTGCGGTCAGGTTCATCGACAATTGCAAACGCAAGGTAGCAGGGCTGCCGATAGTCACCTTGAAGGCAACAGATAACCAGCAACATCAAATCCTGGTACCGATGCAATCGATGCAACGTCCGCTCGAGAGAGATGAGTTTCGAACTGCGCAGATCATCCTGTGGAAGCAAGCACAGTTCGAAGGATTCCCAGATGAGATGAGCATCCTCACCAAGAATCTGGAACAACAACCAGATGTAGTAATGGAAACGGTGAAGAAGAGCAGTTGCCTGTACAAATTGACTCCGATTCTGGACAAAGAAGGTGTGCTGCGGTTGGGTGGTAGAATGGATATGTCCGTCGACATGCCTTTCGACAAAAGGTGTCCAATAATTCTGCCAAGAAAGCACGCGACGACGGAGAAGCTGATCCAGTTCTACCACGAGAAGTATGGACACGCCAATCGAGAGACAGTGATGAACGAGCTTCGCCAAAGGTTCTGGATTCCGAACACCCGAGCTGCAATCCGTCAAGTGATGAGCAATTGCGTGTGGTGTAAAGTCCATCGCTGTCAGCCGCATGTTCCTATGATGGCACCGCTTCCGATACAGCGAGTCACACCCTATCTGCGACCGTTCAACTCGGTGGGTATCGACTATCTAGGTCCGATAGAAGTGACTTTGGGACGAAGAAAGGAGAAACGATGGGTCGCGGTGTTCACTTGTTTGGCTGTACGAGCGGTACACCTAGAAGTGGTGCGTAGTCTCTCAACGCAATCCTGCTTGATGGCCCTTCGAAGGTTCAGCTGTAAGCGAGGCGTACCACAGGAAATTTTTTCGGACAACGCGACGTGTTTTGTAGGTGCCGATAACGAGTTGAAGAAGATCAACAGCGACTGTGCGACCAGCATAACGAACGATAATACCGCGTGGCACTTCAATCCACCGGCTGCACCGCACATGGGCGGCATCTGGGAGCGGATGGTGAGGTCGGTAAAGGAGGCGATGAAGGCGCTGGACGATGGGCGAACATTGTCCGACGAGGTTCTGCACACAACACTAGCTGAAGCAGAGGACATGATTAACGCCCGGCCGCTAACGTACATACCGCAGGAATCAGCTGAGGAAGAAGCGATTACCCCGAACCATTTCCTTCGTGGGTCGGTGACAAGTGCGGATTTGGTGGTCCAGCCAGTGGACATTGCGGAGGCTCTACGAGATACTTACAAGCGTTCTCAATACCTGGCGAACCGAATGTGGGAAAGATGGTGCAAGGAATACTTGCCGACAATCAACAGACGGACGAAGTGGTTCGAGGAGCAGAAGCCGCTACAGGTGAACGACCTGGTCTTCATAGTGGATGGAAAAACCCGGAAAAGCTGGATCCGAGGGATCGTGGAAGAGATACTCCGAGGACCAGACGGAAGAGTGAGGCAAGCGATAGTGCGGACGGCTAGAGGAGTCTACCGGCGTGCTGTAGCGAACTTAGCGGTGATGGAGGTCTGAAAGTAAATCCGGGATTTCCGGAGGAACTACCGGATGTTACGGGCTGGGGTATGTCAACACCGCAGGGCAGCAAACCCAACACAACGGTGTGCGTAGCTGCGGTTGGCGTACCTAATGTTATTGCCGTTTCGAACCGTTGTCAGAAGTGAAGAAAGGGAAGAGAAAAACAAAACCAAAACAAACCAAACATAATTTATAATGGACATTGTTAGCAGATAAAGTGAAATTATAGAGGAATTCAAGGAATATTTCGGATCATAAAGTTCGTCTATACTGTGCATCTGGTTCCCCTTCGGCGTCCCGAACATAGAAGGAAATTATAATTTGGAACAGGCGTATAGGAAAGCTAGCGACGATTTTAACGGGAGAATTCGTGGTAAATAGAAGGAAGAGCTAGAACGAGGAAACGGTTGTGTAGCGCACAAAAGTAGAATTAGACCACTTCTTTTTGAGCTGCCACAAAAAAAGAGGCTGCTACAAAAATTTTGGTTTGGTATCCGAACAATCGGCAATTTGCTGTTCAGTCGGCAAGTACACAATACGCAGCTTACCATCCTCAACCAACTCACGAACGAAGAAATGCTGGATATCCACATGTTTCAACCTTTTCTGCTTCCCTGGTTCGACGATTATAGCAATACAAGGTTGATTGTCTTCAAAGATGTTGATTGGTTCGTTCATAGCACATCCAATAGAGCTGAGTAATTTCGCCATCCAAGCCAGCTCGCAACTGGTCAGGCAAAGGGCCATCAGTTCCGCCTCCGTGGTTGAAAGCGCGACCGAAGACTGCTTCTTGGTTGTCCACGCAACCACAGATCCACACAGCTTGATAACGAACCCGGAAACCGAACGCCGATCATTCGGGTCATTACCCCAATCAGCATCCGCGTACGCTTCGAGAATGGTTGGTGATACCTGTCGACGGTACACGAGCTTGTAATCGGTCGTACCTTGAAGATAGCGTAACACTCGCTTGAGGTGCACCCAATGCTCCTCCGTAGCACAGCACTGGAATGCAGCAAAATAGTTTACTGCCGCACAGATGTCCGGCCTCGATGTCACCATGAGGTACATTAGGCAACCGATAAGCTCCCTGTACGGCTTGGACGTCATCTCCTTCGTATCCTTCTTCTTCTCTAGCTTCAGGCCAGGCTCCATTGGTATAGCAGACGGTTTACAGCAGCTCATCCCAAAGCGCTCCAGAATTTTACTTACGTAAACGCGCTGGTCTACAGTCAACACTCCTGCTTTGCGATCGCGATGTATATTCAAGCCAAGAAACGACTTTACTTCCTGAAGATCCCTAGTTTAAAACTCACCGCACAGCTTCGCCTTCAGCATACATATTATATCCACCGAGTTCCCGAGGACAAGTATATCGTCTACGTAGATGACTACGTACAACATCACACCGCCCTTCGACCAACTGTACAGGCATGAATCGTACTCGCTTTGTTTGAACTGCAGCCGGATCATAAACTGGTGGAAACGCAAGTTCCACTTCCTCGAAGCTTGCTTCAACCCGTAGATCGCCTTGTTTAATCTGCACACCAGTGTACCTCCCCGCTCAAAACCAGACGGCTGGCGCATATACACCTCTTCGTCCAACACGCCGTTCAGAAATGCGCATTTGACATCTAATTGGTGCACATCCCAATCTTCCTGGTTGGCCAATGCCAACAAAACACGCAACGTAGATATTTTCACTACCGGAGAGTAAGTGTCCGAATAGTCGAAGCCTCGCCGTTGCGAGAAACCGCGCGCCACAAGTCTGGCTTTGTAACGCTCCACTTCACCATCACTGTTCCGTTTAATCTTGAAAACCCACTTATTGTCCACCACTTTTCGACCTTCTGGCAGTTCAACAAGGGTCCACGTATCATTTTTGTCCAGAGATGCAAGTTCTTCATCGATGGCCTTTTTCCACATAGGCCAATCGCTTCTAGTCTTCAACACTTTCACATCCGACGGAATGTCTTCAACAAATTCATCCGCACTGAGCGCAAACGCCGTTATATCCGAGTTATCCACATCATAATCACTCAACCACTTGGGTGGATTAATCACTCTTCCACTTTTTCTCACGTTACTGTTTTCCTCTGGGGTCTCCTCCAGATCCGAATCCGCACCTCCGACCGCTTCTTCTGCCGAGTCGGCTGCCGACTCCCAACCTTCTTCACTTGGAGGATTACTATTTCCAGCCTCTGAATCGTCTTCTTGAACACCATCACGCTCCGATTTATCCGGCTGTTCCATGATAATCACTTCATCAACCCGGTTTTCTTCATTAACTGCAGTGAGCTTCCCGAATCGTGACTCATTGAAGACGACGTCTCTAGCCACAATCACTTTTTCACCGTTCCAGCAACGAAAACCGTTCGGCGCATAGCCCACAAAAACTGCCTTTTGGCCTTTCGCATCAAGTTTCTTCCGCAATGCTTTTGGAACATGTACGAAACACTCGCTTCCGAACACGCGAAGATTCGATACGTTCGGTCGTTTGTTGTACCACGCTTCATATGGCGTGATATTACCTTCCACCGCGACAGTCGGGCTTCGATTCAGCAGATATATAGCTGAGTACAACGCTTCACCCCACATTTCCTTCGGAAGTTCACTGGCTTCGAGCATTGCACGCACTTTTTCAATAGCTGTTCGATTCAGCCTCTCGCTAACCCCGTTCTGCTCTGGCGTATATGGCACCGTTTTCTCCAGCCTTATGCCTTTCTGCCTACAGAAGTTCTTCACGGATTTTCCGGTATATTCGCCGCCGTTGTCACTTCGGAGACGCGCGATCTTTGTCCCGAAATGGGCGGTTACCATCGCCTCGTACTCCATCAGCCGTTCAAGCACTTCATACTTACGCTTCATGAGGTAAACTACCGCCATATGCGTAAAATCGTCCGTAAACGTAACAAAATACTCGTGGCCATCCCAGGAGAGAGGGGAGATGGGGCCACAAACGTCACTGTGCACAATCTCGAGAGGCCTGCTAGCACGCTTTTCCACCCGCGACTCGAACGTTTCCCGCGTCTGCTTTGCGTTAATGCACGGTTCACACAAGAACTTTTCGGTATTAGCGCGCCCGATTTCCACCCGCATGCCCTCGACCATCTCGTTCCGCACAAGTTTCATGAGATTCTCATTGCCAAGGTGGCCAAATCGATAATGCCACATTTTCAAACTTTTGCACACTCGACCACTCACTAGCGCTTTTTCGTCAGGCTTCAATTTGTCACAAACAAAGTCCATACAGTACAGACGGCCTAGTTGTCGTCCGGTAGCCACAATTCCCTCTTCGTCCTCGACACTCACTTTTCCGCCGAAAAATACAACTCTTTTCCCGGAATTTTCTAGACGTCGCAACGAAAGCAAGTTCAGTGACAGTTCCGGAATGAACAGCACGTCTTCCATGGTAATCTGAATCTTTTTACCATCCACCAAAGCACTAGCGATAACACGACCTTTGTAGCTTGCAACCAAGCTCACACCACTCTTGGCAGTTAGAATTTCAACCGGACGATCCAACTTTTCCAAAACCGAAGTCGTTGGACATATGATCCGATGCCCCACTGTCCAAAAACCACCGCACGTCAGTCATTTTACTAATCGCCGCCATCTCGGGGTGGGTTTCAGCGGCCACGAACGACACCGTTTTTACTCCCACATTTGCTTTTTGCGTTTCACTTTTCTTCACTGGTTTCGACGCACTATTCTTCTTCTCGCTGGACTTTGGACATTGAGCACGTTTATGCCCGAGCTCCCCGCAGCCAAAGCATTTCAGCTTGCCTTTGAATTTTCCCACGAAAGCCGCTTCCTCCGTTTCAGCTTCTTGCCGCTGCCCTCTGCGTTTAGCCTCAACGTCGAGGTACTTTCGTCGCACCAAATCCATTGTCAGCTTTTCCGAAATTGCTTCCATTGCTGTGGTGACAGCATCGAACGAATCTGGCATCGTTAACATCAGATGGCATATAACGTCTTCTTCATCCTTACGACCACCAGCACCTTTTATTTCTCGCACAAGCTGGTCGAACCGTAAAAAATGATTCTGCAGCTTCTCACTCTCGTTGTATCGCATTGCGAGCAGCTGCCGTTTCAGCAAGAACCTGTTAGTTATACTCTTCCGTTCGAAGACATCATGTAGACCGTCCCAGATTTCCTTCGGTGACACTTTGTCCTTGACGTACTCAAGGTGGCTGTCCGCCACCGCTTGAATTAGGACAGACCGACACTTGTTGTCTTTTCTCACTCGCGCTTGAACCAGGATCTTATTCGCCGCTCTCATTTCCGCCGTTGCCGTATCAGGAGTATTCCAAAACTCTTCCTCTTCCGCACTCCGCTCCACGCAGTGTAACACTTCCAGCTGCTGGAGGTAAGCTCGCATGCGGAAGCTCCAGTTGTTGAAACCAACTCCATCGAATGGTTTGATTCGAAAACTCTTCGATTCCTCCTCCATTTCGTACGACGTTTTCTTTTCGCAAACTACTCCCGGAACAACGAAACCCGCCGAAAAGTTAGAAAAAAAAACTTCAATTTAATCGCGTAAAAACTGGACACATAACCTATTGAATTCTTTCAATAATAATAATCACATCACATGTGGTTTCGGTGAGAACAAAAACAGAATGAATATATTTATTGACAGTTTCTCTCTACACGCTCAAATGGAATCAATTGGATTAGGGTAAAGTCTTGGTCAATACTGCACGCTCAATAATTTTGACTGTAGCAATTTACGATGCTGTCTGTACATTTTTATACGAATTCTGGTTGTCTGGGTGTTTTGGTTTGAAATCGAAAGAATAAATCGGATAAGACGCGGGAAGTGGCGGGTGTGCGACATTGTTCAAGTAGACCTGGAATGATCTGCCCGACAAGTAGTTTTTGATGATCTTCACGAGGTAGATCGGTAAGTTGTATCGATGCAGTTTGTACACTAGGCCATCATGCCAGACATTGTCAAACGCTTTCTCAACGTCCAACAATGCCAAAGCAGATGTTTTTGTAACGGACTTGTTCCGCCTGATGATGGTAATAACTCTACTTAGTTGGTGGATCGTTTAATGGCATTTCATAAACCCGAATTGCTCCTTGAGTAAGATGTTATTTTCATTAGAGAACTCCAGCAACCGGCAGAGTATCATCTTTTCGAATAGCTTCGAAATGGAGGACAAGAGGCTGATGGGGCGATAGCTTTTGACACTGGTAGGATCTTTGCCAGGCTTGTGTATTGGAATCACTTTGACTAACTTCTAGCATACAGACAAGTAGCCAAGCTCCAAACATTTGTTGAAGATAACGGTAAGATGGTTGAAGAAGTCAATACTCAAGTTTTTCAACTCGAGGTTGGCTACACCTACACTAAATTGCAACACTATGCCGTAACTTAATTTTTTTTTATATCATATGAGATATGGTAGATAAAACATTAAGCTTTGCTATGAAAGTTGTTACAGCAGTTTTCGTTGTTTCAGTCGCGAGATACAAAAAAAAATAAAGGGTTGTGTCCTAGACACGACCGCAGTATGTCGTAGAACTACGCAAAATTGATGTATGTCATGCATTTTTGATTATTATACTTTATCTTAAATTTTTCAAGTATTTCAATGTCTCGGTTATGATTCAAAACTCGCGACAATCCACGTTAGCATAATCAGACCACGGTTCATCTTACGCATGAGATAATGTATTTACATTTAATGTAATGGTTAAGAATTGACAGAATTTTCCCTCCATGACTACCTTGGGTTGATCAATGTTGAGCTATTTTACTGTGATCAATGTACACTAAATTTGACATCGACATCGACTACAATAAGAATTGACACTATTTCGTTACACATTTTTTGATGATTTGCACCTCAGTATAATACACAAAAACGCCATGCATGTTGTGGGATAAAACAATTCGCACAAAATACGTTATTTTTTTCAGTAGTTCCATCATTAGTTTTGAATTAGATCTTTGAAGCAGAGAAGAGAGTGAAGGTCGAATTTTATGATAAAGCGCCAGGAAGTTGTTTTCCCTTTAAGAAGACGGTACTTTCAATATTGAACAAAATGTCAGTAAAGTAGGGGAGAAAGGGGTACAACGATAATATGGGGTTTAAGCACCTCTTTGTTCTCCATAACATAAAATTATCATGCATCATCATTAT